AACTTTACTGAGTAGATTGTTATGTAATGCTATGACAGGGAATTTGCTGCTGATTTTTCAGGGAGAGAGTGTTTGGGAAAAGAGAGAAACGTCTCTTTGTATAGAGGAGTAAAAAAAGATAAAGAATCATATGTCATATTGTCCAGAGATGAAACGGTTGTTTGCTTTTTTCTCTATTTATTTGACAAAAACTGTGATTTATGAAGACTGTGAACATTCATGTGTGTATATCATGGCACTCATCACTGTCCATATGTCTTAAAATTATTTCATTCATTTAATAAAACAAATGTTCATAAACTACCATTAATGAATGTCTCTTACGAAAGGTAGAGCACTTGTGTTAGAGCTTTAACAATGCATGCAGCATTTCAGTACTTTATCAGAGGCCTGTAAAATGTACTCAGCTTTGTTACCTGTTTGAGGACCAGCGTGATGAGCTGCACAAACCTGTGAGTATCTCTCCTGACCACAGCATGTTCTCTTCATGAGCTCTGTCTTTTGTAGATGCCTGTCAATGTTATATAACAGGAAAGTCTTCATTAAAATTAATCATTTGACAGAGATCTTAATATGTGGGTGAAACATTTCCTTTCACTTTTTGGAAAGACAGCATGTTACACGTTAATAATAATAATCTTCAAAGTGGTGGTACATGTTAAATAAAAATGTTTTTAGCAAAATAATTTAGTTTTCCCCTTGCTAAGTCCGGCCCCCTTGTTTCCTGTTTTGTGTCTGTAAAGCTCTTTGGTTTTACACACAATCTATCATAAGAGATGTCCTGATCCGTGTCAAGTTGGCTGTACCTCTGATTCACCAATCTTGTAACCATAAAACCTTTAAAAAACATGGCAAACTGTTCAATGTACACATGGTTTTAATTGCTTCTGCAGACAGCCTCTGGTGGACACTTGGAGAACTTCAGATTTTAGTACTCCCATATTAGCTTTAATTTCTCAAACCCAGTTTTCCTGCTGTTTAAAGGCAGTAATTTTGAGGTAGTAATTTACGCCTCCGTTATCTGGTTTACAATTGGCTTACACTTTAAAATTTAAACACAGACAAACACAGATGAGCTTTTACACAGTCAAAAAATATCTTATCAGTGAATACACAAGTCATGAAAAGAAGTTAAAAACGTTTTTCTAATCTGCTTTGTAGTTAACCGAGGTTAATGTGGTGTACTGTTCATCTACCGTCACTTTTAAGCTAATTAGCTAGAAATGCTAAAGACAGCCACTGACTCTAAAGCGGACTAATTCTGTATTTCTCATCTTAAACGATTTGTTTGTAGATTACAGGTTCCTTAAAGTTAACCAAAAGGTCACTAACCTCCAAAATAGTAAAAAATACTCCGAAGAAACTCCAAAAAACGCTGCTTGACTGTCAGAAAGTGTGTACGTGACGATCTTCCTGAAGCGCCTAGTGACCGTTGCTAAGTTTCTGATTGGCTAACTGCTGTAGAGGGGCGGGGCTTAGCAAGCGGTAAATTAGGTTGTGTTTACCACACAGTAGCCTACGACTTCGTCCCTTTGTGTCGCCCACTTTCATTCTTGTTTATCAGCTGTTTGATCGTTTTTAAACACAATTTCACTTTTTTTTAATTGAGAATGTTTTAAAAAATAATCGTTTAATAGATAGACTAGCATGTAGATATTTCATTTACATTCTTCTCCTAATCTCCCAATATCACATTGACCGTAAAAATACAACTTTTTTATAGAAAATTTGAGGAAGAAAAAGAAAAACAAACATTTTTGTTTACCTTTAAACTACATTTGAAGATAAAGTTGCCTTGCTTCAGAACCACATCGTCAGTGTTGTCGTATTTAAGTCGTATTTATGTCATTATTGTGCAGATGATGATGACGATGATGATGACGATGACGATGATGATGATGATGATGATGACGACGACGACGACGACGACGATGATGATGATGATGATGATGATGACGATTATCATGAGGGCTCTCTCTGCTCTCTCTGTGAATTCTGTGAGGTATGTTGATCATTTATAAAGCAATAACAGGATCATTTTTAATGTGATAAAATGCAGAAGATGAAATAAAAGACTTCATGATGAACTCAATCACAAATATTAATGACTGTTTTATTTTTGTAGCACTGCGACAGCTGTGACAAGTGTCCATGCAAAGAAGGAGATGAGTCTGAACACTGTGATTCCTGCAAGGTGAGAAAATAAGCACAGATGCTGCACAACATCTGAGCCATCAGAGCACCAAAGTATCACAAAATACAATGCATCACTTTTTATTTGGTTTTGGTTTTATTGGAAGTAGATCCTTGTCTGAAAAGTTTGTTAAAGTGTACTCAGTGGGCATGCGTGGCTATCACCTGGTGTCATGTCTAAAAAAACACCATATTTGCCCTTTTGGGGAAACCTGTTGAAAATAAGTGAATGCTCTCAAAATAAAAGTACAGAAAAGTGCCCTCTGGATGGTCCAACTAGGTAAAACTTAAAAGAAAAGTCCTATTGGGCACCCTTTAATTAATAAAATGTGATAAAGTGCTCTTTTGGTCATTTTGATTGACTGTTATTTGAAGTTTGTGAGTTGTGGTTAATAGTTTGTTTATCCAATATATTTTGTGTTTTTTATTTCCACTAAATGATCCCTTTTTTCCTGATAGAAAATTGTTCTTTTGATTCTCTAACTTTGTTGTTTAATTTTCTGTCTGGTTCACAGATGTGCAGTTTCTGTCACGTGTGTCCTGTTTGCCAAACTGTGTGCCAGCCTGGTGAGTCAACGTACATTAACACATGTTTAAAGGGTTGTCAAGATGGTTTTCTTGTGGCTCATTTGATCTCTTTTCTTGCTATGTAAGATAAACTCATAGAAACTTAAACCCTGGGGTTATATTCAAAGTTATAAAGAGAACAAGATCTCCTCAAGAGTCAGCAGATAAACCAAAAGTGAGATCATCCACAGCGGATATGACAGCATCTTGGTTATATGTCTGGCTGTTCATCATATTTAGAGTAGACAGTCTGAAATATGCAACTTGATGTGTTGCTGACATTTTAGTCAGCTGATTGAGTTAAATATGATCAGTTTGATGGGATTGAGATGCTTGAACTCCCTCTGAGGGATTTAAAAAGTGCATCCAGTTCTTTCTCACTTTGTCTCTTTTTGCAGGAGGTTTTCTGGACGAAGTCACCGGATCAATCTATAAGTAAGTCACACTCAAACTGACCGGAGACCTGCTCAAACAGTACTGAATATTAAGACTCTGAACTGTGTTTGTGTCTCTTCCACAGGACTGTAGCCGACGTCTTCGACGACGATGATGATGATGATGACAACTAAACACAATGATATGTCGCCACCATGTGGCCCAGATGATATGTTTCATTGTTATTTATGTCTTTTTTTCCTTGAGATCATGAAATATTTGCTCACAGTGACTGAAAACAATTAAAACGTAATTTATTTGTGTACTGTTGTCAACTAAAAAGTCAAAGATGCACTTTTAAGGAAAATCTCTGAACCTATATTTGGGATATGTTCAATAAAGAGGAGGGTAAATTTTTGCTGATTCATTTATTGATTTTAAATACTCACTACACCCTTAATATGAGAATTTTTTTGGCTTATAAAAGTAGACGAAAGTGGGAACGACTTCTGCTTTAAAGCTTGGGTGAGTAGTTTAGAAAAAACAAGCAGATTTTGAAAGTATGGAGCGGCAGAAATCTCCCCTGCACAAACTACATGGACGTGGTGTACATCAATCCTGCGGGTGCAGCTGGAGGTCAAATCAACAGGAGAGGTATGTTTGAGGTATGTTTTCTCTCCGTATGTGGTTTTACTCAGTCAGCAGCAACATTTCAAACCGCTGACATGTGAAGCGAAGGGCAAGTGTCAAACTAATCAAACAGAACAGAGTGTTCAACACCACACAATTTATATTTATATAACTTTAAAAAGTCTCATATCAACTGAGTTCAGCTCTCTTTATGTTTCCAACTTTATAAAATTAATTTTAGCCTTAACTGAGTCATGATGTGAATTAACAGAGTAATTAATAGGCTGTTTATCAGCAAGAAGGCTGTAGGCGTTGAAAAAAACAACAGGTAAAACATCAGCATGGGGGTTAGATATTTTTATGAACAGGTGAAAAATAAAAACAATAAAACCTCCTCTAATCAGAGACCAGATTGACCATGATGAAGTATTAATCTGTACAGGTCCCAGGTCAGGCCCTTGATCAAGACATATGTTCAATGTCATATGTTCAATGAGAAAAACATGTGTTCATCATTATTTTTGACTTTATTATTATTATAATCTATCACATGTTTAACACTGAAGCTGAAATTGATAATGCTTTATGTGGCATTAACAGTTATTTGGTAAATTTATAGAAAGAAAGAAAAAAAGCGCTTGATATTAATTGTACTTACCAAACGTGTCTATTTATTGTCTAAGAGTTTACTTAGTGAGGAAAAAAAGTTGATAAATCAGTCAAAGAACATATTTAATTCTTATTTTTCTCCTTATTATTAGATCTATTTAGATTATGCCCTTCTCTGGTCGTTTGAGATTATAATCTTTCCAATCCTGTTCATAAATTTCCAACAACACACTCCACAGCTGAGATCCATATCAAGATTTAAACATGATTAGCTGATCAAATCGGATAAATCGGATATCCGCACCTTCTCCTGAATAGCACCAAAGATTTAATCCCAAATCCGATCAGATTACTCTTTAATAACCGCTTTAATAACAGCTCTCTGCAGCGGACCGGAGCTGTTACAGCTTCTGTCCAGCAGAGGGCAGTGCAGTCCCACCACGTTTATATTAACCACCACAGAAGAAGAAAAGAAGGCAGCCTTCCGCTTTGCCCTCAGTCAGGTTACAAAACCGAAGCTGAGCTCCGAACAGCCTCACGGACCCGCCCGGACCTGACCCTGCACCGGGATGGGCTTCGAACACTTCTGCAGCGTGGACCGGTCCGACCCGTTCTGGGTGAGTGTCCGGGTTGTTTCCCGCGTTTTTACAGTTTGTCCGGCTGTTGTTATCAGCCCGTGGAGGGGGCGCGTGCTAACGTGATTAGCCCCGGTAAGTTACGCCGCTGCTGTCCTCCTCCTCCTCCTCCTCCGTGACAGCAGCAGCAGCTTCACGTAACAACCGGCTTAGAACCGCGAGACCGAGCACGCGCATGTGTTGTATCACGGACCCATGGTTACATGGTGAGCGCACACGCGCATACACTCTGGTTGGTTTATTCTGTTATTACGGTTTTTACCGTTTTCACCGGTTCAGTGAGACAGGGAGGGACTGTGAGGGGGGCCTGGTGGGTCCGGTCCTGGATGCTGTCAGAGAAACAGAGTCAGAGCAGAAGAGGAAAAGCGTGAAAATTCATGTTAAAGTGGAGAAATCTGAGCGAAATTCCTCACAGATAACATGAGTCAGCACATTTTTTCCACTTCAGCCTCACTAACTTCTGTGAAACATCATTATCTCTGTGTGTGTGTGTGTGTGTGTGTGTGTGTGTGTGTGTGTCTGTCTGTCTGTGTTTTTTATGGCACTTTTCAGACAAGAAATGCAGCTCAAAGTGCTACACAAAGGCTAAAAACAACAATTAACCCAACGATATCGATTTTTTTGCGGCCGATACCGATTACCGATTAGTCGGCCGATTTTTTTCTTTTAATGAAGTTATAAAAAATACATATATACTGTAAATATCTACAGTATATACTGTAGATTTTTACAGTATACTATATAGTGTAAATATACTGTAGTCGACTGCTCTTCACGCCGACAGGAAGACCGACTGATCAAACTCAGACCAGAAAAGCGTTTTCAACTATTCATGCAGCTGCCTCAATAGGAGAAGTAGCTTGATCACGTAATGTGTACTCTTGTTTATTCTACTGTTACTGTATTGTTAAAGAGACATTGCCTGACACTGAGACATTACGTGAGGAAAGAGCTACCTGTGGTAAACACTGGAGATAAAAATAAAAATGGTAAAAAGAAAGATTAAAACCTGATGGACTAAAACAAGAAAATAATATTAAATGAACATAAGTGAGAGCTCTTTACCATATTAAAGGGGGTAAAAGAAGTGAAAACCTATGACAGGAGTTAAGAAAAACACTAAGAGCAGAGATAATTGATAAAATGACATTAAATAAACAGTTAGTGAAAAGCCTGGTTAAAAGGTGAGTCTTGAGCCTCTTCTTAAAAATATCAACAGTCAAAAATTTGTTTTATACATCAATTGTGGTGTCTATGAGCTACAACATGAGGTCAAAAACCTAACATAAAAGTCCACTATTTTAGTTTAGAGGACTAATAAAGTCATCATAGTAGTTCTGGGGTAAGTGAGAAAGTAAAGGAGTCTGATGAGAGGATCAGAGTTTCACTTCAGATTGTTGAAACGTTTGACTTTTTCTTTTCAAAAATACAGATCTGTGAATGTTCTGAATCACTTTTAGACATTCTCATGTTAAAATGTTTTTTTACAAAACAGCTTTTTAGCAGTTATATGCAATAATAATAAAAAGAATTATTGTACCAGTTGAATAGTGTATAATAGATAAAAATACACATGAATGTGAAGAAGTGACTGTTTGGTAAGAGAGGGCTGGGGTGGAGATGGTGAACTTACCCCGTACACGGGGTAAATTGACCATAGGAGACCACTTTTTTTTTGTCCTGCTATATTATCAAGACAGTTCTGTTTACACTCATTCTGTTGGTTTGCAGGGATGACCAACATCTTGAAATATATATGCAAATATACTAATTAGAGACAAAATTAGAATAGCCTTGATGTAGTGATCCCAAATATGAAAACTGGCTCATCTTACCCCACTCTCCCCTATGTGTGTTTGTATGTGTACCGCGGTTGTATCAGTTGTTATCAGGTTACAGCATGGTGCCAGAAAAACTGTCAGACGTAACCGTGTGTTGACCTTTAACATCAGTCTGCTGCTCCTCCTCAGAAAAACACGGAGAGGTTTGTGTGGTAAACAGAGCAGATATGGATCGTTTTCATTCTTCATTTCAAGAGCCTCAAACACGGGCTGCTGAGGATAAGGCCGTGAACGCTCAGGTGGAGAGCTGTCATCCGTCTCTGCTGCTGTAGTCATTAACTCGACTAAATGAGCCGCCTGAGCTGATTGACATTTGCTCTGTGTTTGTTCTACATTCAACCACGGAGATGTGCAGAGTACAAGCATACCGATACCACTCAGAGAAACCACACACAGAACAACAACACAGTTTGTAGAAGAGAACAGAAAGTTTCGCAGCTGATTCAAAGCGAAAATACAGAGTGATGAGAAAAACAAGGGGAGCAGAAAGTCTGATCTTTGTCTTTAAAACATGTTGACGAGAATAAAAGTGAAGTTTGGCCAAGAAAATTTACTAAAGGACTCAGGTATATTATTTTATTTTACTGTCTAGCACTGGTATTTTATGCGTTCATTTTATTTTTACTGTATTCAGATACTCTCCCTAAAATTTAACCCTAAAAGAAGTAAAAAGTTTAATCGATTGACATTTAAGAGTGCACCAGGTGACTGTGTAACATACCACTGAGCCTCTTTTAGCTCACACTTTGTTTTATGATCTAACCGCCGCTCTCTGCTGCCTCCAGTGGTTTAAAACATCACTGCAGCTTCAGAATAAAAAAATCAGAGTTCCTTTATCTCCTGTCTCTCCTCTCCCAGGACTGGAACCGGAGCTGGAACACGTCTAACCCGGACCTCACCCAGTGCTTCCAGAACACTATACTGGTGTGGCTGCCATGCTTTTACCTCTGGCTGTCCGCTCCCATCTACCTCATCTATCTGCGCGGTCACGATCGAGGTTACATCTGCATGAGCCACCTAAACAAGGCCAAAACTGTGAGTCATGTGACCCGCCGCCGGTACTGTGAGAATTGAATGTTTATTGTTGAATTTAATCCTTTCCGGGGTTATCTCGTGTCGTTGAAGCAGGAAGCAAAGGTTTTTTTTACAGTTGGTTTAACTGAAGTTTAAGTGGAATAAATGCAGGATACATGAAAACAAAGGTTGGTTGCAGCTCTGTGAGTGTTCTCATGTTCCTCTTGCGGTGTTTTCTTGGAAATCAGACACTATTTTTAGACGCTACACTGCTTACAGTGCGATTAAAGGGTCACTCTTCCTTGTTTTCAACACAGTGTCTAAAGTTCTTGCTTTTCTTTTGGTTCCTATCAGTAAAAGGGAACATTGCATCGCCTCCTCAGGGGGATTTCACAAGAACGTGAACCCTGACTTTGGCTTATTGTGCAGAAAAATATTGATTTAGCTCTCATTGTTGAGTGAGTCCCTGTGAAAGTTGGATGTTTCCCTCGGTCAGAGAGCAGTGATGAGTTTTTCTCTCCTCAGGTGGTCGGTCTCCTCCTCTGGTTGGTCTGCTGGTCAGATGTCTTTTATTCTTTCTGGGAAAGAAGTCACGGCAGCAGCGTTCCTCCGCCGGTCCTCCTCGTCAGCCCGACTGTCCTGGGTCTGACCATGGTGAGAGGACACGTTTGACTCTTTCTACCTTTCACATTTCCAAAAGCCAAAATAAAGTTCAGGTGAATCTGTCAGGAGAATAATCATTAGTTCCTTGTTGTGGAGCCGCAGCTTGACTGACATGTGAGCATTTCAGAGGACAGGATGAACCTGTTTCAGGTCAACCAGAGCCTCATTAAGAAATGACGAGGGTGTGTTTGTGGTTTAAGTGTGTGTTCATGTTTGTCCTCCAGCTGCTCGCCACGTTTTTAATCCAGTACGAGCGAATGAAGGGGGTCCAGTCGTCCGGACTGATGCTGATCTTCTGGTTGCTGGCGCTGGTGTGCGCCACAGTCACCTTCAGGTCCAAGGTCCTGCAGGCTCTAGACCAGGTCAGAGCTGCTGCTATGATGCATTTAAAGTAAAAATCTCAATATCTCAGGAAAAACTCCTGAACTGTGTGTTTGTACCTGCAGCTGTCGTCAGTGAGCGTGTGGAGGTTCACCACCTTCTACATCTACTACGCTCTGCTGCTGGTGGCCCTCATCCTGTCCTGTCTGTCAGACCAGCCGCCCCTCTTCTCCCAGGCTGTCAAAGACCAGGTAAGTCCTCCTCACCTGTCTCTCTATCAGTCCTCTTTTGTTGACCCTAACAACCACCCAATACCCGTCGTCTGGTGGACGTAGCGTTCAGCCTAAGACCGGTGATTACCTGTTATCATGAGAGTGTGTGAACAGGTGGATTAAACACCTGTCCCCCCTCCATCACCTGGGCTGGATCTCAAATATTGATCCATGGGTCATAAATAAGCAGAGCAAACCGATCATCATCATCATCATCAGACTCATGGTTCATCTCTGTCTGTGTTTGTGTTCAGAACCCGTGTCCAGAACCGGGGGCGTCCTTCCTCTCCAGAATCACCTTCTGGTGGATCACCAGGTGAGCTGACTGGACTCAGAGACTCATTTATGATTATTTTTGACATGATCAGAAATGGAAGTTAATATCTCCTGATGACTCCTCTCCTGATCTGTCACCCTCGACTTCCTCCTTCCTTACACGATCTCTTTAGGATGATGATAATTGGATACCGGCGCCCCCTGGAGGAGAAGGACTTGTGGTCCCTGAACCCTGAGGACCGATCACATCGAGTCGTTCCACAGCTGGTGACTCGCTGGAACAACGAGTGCCAGAAAGTCAAGAGGTCAGCGGATCAGGCGCATCACACGTGACAAACAGAGCTTCATCAAACTCCATTTCTAATCATCTCCATCTTTGTCTTCTGTCAGGACGGAGCAGAAGATGCTGTACTCCCCTAAACGAGTCCCTCACACTGAGAATAAAGAGGGCTGCGCCGTGGAGGAGTCTGAGATCCTGATTGTGAAGAACCCTCAGAAAACCAAGGAGCCCTCTCTGCTGTGGGCCCTGTGCCTCACCTTCGGCCCCTACTTCCTCATCTCCTGCCTCTACAAGGCCATCCAGGACATCCTCATGTTCGTCGGCCCTGAGATCCTGAGGTGAGAAACCCCTGAAGCTGTAGACACAGCTGTGTTTATTTTTCATCTCTGCTGTCGACATATTTGTTCTGGATTTTTACGAGTTTTTATCGGGTTCGGCTCCTGAATTTGTCGGATATTTCCCTCCTGGGCTGTTGAAGCATGTTGTCACCTGCTGTCCATTTCAGTGATGTGTTTATTTAAGTATTTACAAATATAACCATGTGGCAGCTGCAGCTACACTATCAGCGGTGGAAACACTTAATCATGTAAACCAAGACCAAGACTTGTTGATGGAGGCGCACCGCCACAAGGCAGCGCCTCCTGAGGGATCTTTGTGTTCTCTTGTATTGTAAACACTGAAACACAGAAACACTGAAATACAAGCTCATGTGGAATAATCATCAGAAATCTGGAACTTTTTTATTTTATTTTGACTTCTTTTCATTTTTTATTAACAGTCATCAGGTATCAGAGTCACATATGTTTGCTCAAAAGTCGCCTAAGCCTAAAGAAGAACCAACCGGCAGGGGAACACGTCAGGGCAAACAGACTTGTAACATTTGTGAACAGGGAGGGAGTGATCACCTCCTCCTCCTCAGAACACAGTCCATCATTTATGGAAATAAATCCGACTCGCTTGGAGTCGATTCATTTTCCCAGAATGAAGAAAAATCATCTCAGTTTTTGACCCTCAAACTCTGCCGTCCTCTCTGTTTCATGAAACCTTTGAGTCCTGAGACTTTCGAGGATATTTGATCTCAGACTTTTCTCGTCTGTGGCGTTTAAAACGGTGAACTTTAAGACCGTTTTCTTTGGAGCTGCACATATTTCAAACCCGGTTTAGTCTTTTTAAGATTGTGGAGACAGTTTGGGTGGCGTGTCTGTGGAGGAGGAGGTGTAGATGAGATGGTTTGAGGAGATAAACCGCAGCTTCATTCATCTTCTTCATTTCGTCTCATCCAGGCTGCTGATCCGCTTCGTGAACGACTCCAGCGCCCCCTCCTGGCAGGGTTTCTTCTACACGGCCCTCCTCTTTGTCTGCACCTGCGTCCAGTCGCTCATCCTGCAGAGATATTTCCACGTCTGCTTCGTGTCGGGCATGCGTCTGCGCTCCGCCATCATCGGAGCCGTGTACAGAAAGGTAAAAGCGCGATCGATGACCTCACCGTCAGTTTAGTCACTTTTTGAGTGTGTGCTCGTCTGTAAGTCTAATCCTTGTGTGTTTTCGGATCCGTCAGGCGTTGGTGATCAGCAGTGCGGCTCGTCGAACCTCCACCGTGGGGGAGATTGTGAACCTGATGTCCGTGGACGCTCAGCGCTTTATGGACCTCATCACCTACATCAACATGATCTGGTCCGCCCCCCTGCAGGTGGTGCTCGCCCTCTACTTCCTGTGGCAGGTGAGATCCCAGAGCAGGTACCAGAAGACTCTGCCTGATGGGAAATGAAGGAGCAGATGTTTATTTTGTCTCCTGTTGTCTTCATCAGAACCTGGGTCCGTCTGTGCTGGCCGGAGTAGCTGTGATGGTTCTGATGGTTCCTGTTAACGCGGTGATCGCCATGAAAACCAAAACCTACCAGGTCAAACTTCTCTCCTTTACCTCCACCAGACGCCTCTGCGTGTCACCGGGTCAGTTTGATCATGTCGTTTGTCCTCCTGTCCTCCAGGTGGCCCAGATGAAGAGTAAAGACAGCCGCATTAAGCTGATGAACGAGATGCTGAACGGCATCAAGGTGCTGAAGCTCTACGCCTGGGAGCTCGCCTTCAGAGACAAGGTGTCAGAGATCAGAGAGAGCGAGCTGAAGGTCCTGAAGAAGGCCGCGTACCTGGGAGCCATGTCCACCTTCACCTGGGTCTGCGCACCTTTCCTGGTGAGTCCGTCCTCCTGGTTTTTTCGTTCTTTAGTTGCTCATCGTTCTACTCGAACCCTAAAAACCCGAGGACCTAAAACTCGTAATGACCTCCTTATATTTTCTCTCTGTGTGCAGGTCGCTCTCTCCACGTTCTCTGTCTACGTTCTGATCGACGAAGAAAACGTGCTCGACGCTCAGAAGGCGTTTGTGTCTCTGGCGCTCTTCAACATCCTTCGTTTTCCTCTCAACATGCTGCCCATGGTCATCAGCAGTATGGTGCAGGTACGTCTACACTTAATGTCTGATTTTAAAGTGGTTTTCAGGGTGGACTGTGGGTGGGTATCAGAACAACAATATGATTAATTTGAGGTGACTTTATGTGGGTTTTTTCTCCCTCTGCTCTCGTCTTCAGGCCAGCGTGTCTCTGAAGCGTCTCCGAGTGTTTCTGTCTCACGAGGAGCTGCAGGAGGACAGCGTGGAGCACAAAGCAGCGGCAGACTGTGAGTCCGTCACGAGTCCTCATGGTTGTTTATTTTAATAAATACTAAAATATTCCAGCTTAACGCCTCTCTACTGTCGTCCTCTCAGCGCCGTTCAGCATCTCCATGGAGGACGCCGTCTTCAGCTGGTCCAGAACTGAATCACCGACTCTCAAGAAGTACGTGTGTCAACTTCACTCAGAGTCTTTAAGTGAACAAAAACATAGAAGTCTAAAAAAGGATCATCCAACATGATCTGTGTCGTCATGGATACGCAGGAGCAAAATTATTTAGTTTATGTCCAAGGGAAAGTCAGAGCTAGTAGAAACAAGAAGAAAATTTTGCACTTGTAAAAACCAATTCCCCTGATTCTCCTCCTGTTTTTCTTCAGGCTGAATGTGTGTATCCCAGAATGCTCTCTGGTTGCCGTGGTGGGACACGTGGGTTCAGGAAAGTCCTCTCTGCTCTCCGCTCTGCTGGGAGAGATGGACAAACTGGAAGGAAGTGTGTCCGTGAAGGTATCTGCTCCTCCTCACGTGGAAATAAGTGATCTATTCATCTACGTATCTGAGACTTAGTTTGTTTTCTTCTCTGGGTTTCTGCAGGGCTCCGTGGCTTATGTCCCCCAGCAGGCCTGGATCCAGAACTCCACCCTGAAGGACAACATCATGTTCGGACAGGAGAGGAGAGAGGCCTGGTACCAGCAGGTGGTGGAGGCGTGTGCGCTCAGACCGGACCTGGAGATCCTCCCGGCTGGAGACGAGACCGAGATCGGAGAGAAGGTGCTGGTCTAAGTGCTCTAGCTGTACCGGGTCCAAATGTAGGGTAGGAAGGTAGGGGATGAGTTAAGGAAAGAAGGAAGGAAGGAAGGGTCAAAACTAGAGGTACACATGTGGAACTAATGGAGAGTCTAAGCTAAGGGTCTTCAAGAGTTAAAAATAGATGTTTCAGCTGCTTAGGTCTGGAAGTAGACCAGTTTTCCCACAGGACTGACGGTCCAAACCTGGACCCTAACAGTCCTGGGGTCACTCTGTCTCTCTGTCTTGCTGCCTTAAGTGTTCCTCGCAGTCGTGTCTCATTTCTGTCTCCGTCCTGATCAGGGGGTAAATCTGTCCGGCGGTCAGAAGCAGAGGGTCAGCCTGGCTCGTGCCGTCTACTGCGACCGAGCCGTCTACCTGCTGGACGACCCGCTCTCCGCCGTCGACGCTCACGTAGGAAAACACATCTTTGACCACGTGGTGGGCCCGCAGGGACTGTTAAAGGACAAGGTGTGTGTGTGAGAGATCTCTGCAGCAGAAGTTTACTGTGAGCTAACGCCTCAGAATAATCATGAACACGTGTGTTTGTTCAGACTCGTGTGCTGGTCACACACGGCCTGAGCTACCTGCCTCAGGTGGACCTGATCCTGGTGATGGTGGAGGGTCAGATCACAGAGATGGGCTCCTACCAGCAGCTCATGGACAGGGACGGCGCCTTCGCCGAGTTTCTGCGGACGTACTCGGCGGGTGAACACACCGAAGACGACGGTGAGACTCTTTGACTGAGTGCAGGTTTTGATTTTTTTAGGGATCAGTCCAAAATGACTAAACATTAACTTTGTGTAGAATCGGCTCCAAAGAGCGGGACCAAAGTTCTGGAGAACGGCAGCGTGACGACTCTCGTTGGGTGAGTAAAAACACAGATTTGGAAACACAGACCGCCTCTCTGTCGGCTGAGATCTTCGCCTTTTTTACGGTTATTTACTGTTTTTCTGGTTTCTGTGTCGGAGCAGCAGCCCGACTGTCAGCACTTCATCCAAACAAACCGAGAAAGAAGACCAGATCCAGAACAAGAAGACCAAGAGCCCCGATGTGGGGAAGCTGACAGAGGCGGACAAAGCCAGCACAGGACAGGTGAGCAAAGACTTCCTTTTCTTTACCTGGTCCCTGATCCTGATCCTGGTCCTGATCCCGGCCCGCCTCCTCTCCCTCCTCAGGTGAAGCTCGCCGTCTTCTGGACTTACCTGAAAGCCATCGGCGTTCTCCTGTCCATCATCAGCATCTTCCTCTTCTTCGTCCATCACCTCGTCTCGCTGTTCTCCAACTACTGGCTGAGTCTGTGGACGGACGACCCCGTCATCAACGGCACGCAGCCCAACAGACTGATGAGGCTGGGGGTCTACGGGGGGTTCGGACTGTCCCAGGGTGAGGAGGGCGATAACCAACGATAGTCTCTCTGATCAGACCTTCAGGAACCAGGTCTCTAACTCCGATTCTGTCTTCCAGGTGTGGCCGTGTTCGGTTACTCCCTCGCCATGTCCATCGGCGGCATCCTGGCGTCCCGTTACCTCCATCAGTCCATGCTGTACGACGTCCTCAGGTCACCCATGTCCTTCTTCGAGCGAACGCCGAGCGGGAACCTGGTGAACCGCTTCGCCAAAGAGATGGACACCATCGACTCGGTGATCCCCAGCATCCTCAAGATGTTCATGGGCTCCATGTTCAACGTGATGGGCTCCTGCGTCATCATCCTCATCGCCACGCCGCTCGTCGCCATCATCATCCCCGTTCTGGGTTTGCTTTACTTCTTCGTTCAGGTCGGTGCTCAGAGGACGTGAAACTTCAAATATCTGGACCTGGTTTTCATGGAGGTAATTTAAGATGTCTGATGTCCTTCTGTCGTCTCTTTAGAGGTTTTACGTGGCGTCGTCTCGTCAGCTGAAGCGCCTGGAGTCGGTCAGTCGCTCGCCGATTTACACGCACTTCAATGAGACTCTGCTGGGAACCTCTGTCATCAGAGCCTTCGGCGAACAGGAACGCTTCATCCGGGAGAGCGACCAGCGAGTCGACCACAACCAGAAGGCGTACTACCCCAGCATCGTGGCGAACAGGTAGAAGAACGTCTCACTGACGGACGTTAATGCAGGTGTGGACGCCGCTGATGTTCTGTCTCATGTTTGTGGTCGTGCAGGTGGCTGGCCATTCGTCTGGAGTTTGTGGGAAACGTCATCGTGTCGTCTGCGGCTCTGTTCGCGGTCATCGCCAGAGAGGATCTGAGCCCCGGCATCATGGGACTGTCCATCTCCTACGCCCTGCAGGTAAACTCGCTGCCTGACGGAGGAAAAATGTGAAACAGCTTAACCAGAACAGAGAAAGTAAATCTGAAAGTGAGTATGAGAGGTGTGACGACTCGTCTGTGTTCTCTCCTTTGCGATCAGCTGACGGCGTCGCTGACCTGGCTGGTGAGGATGTCCTCTGACGTGGAGACAAACATCGTGGCGGTGGAGAAAGTCAAAGAGTACAGGGACACAGAGAAGGAGGTACGGAGACGCTTCTGTCCGCTTTTAAAGCTCCTGTAGGGAACTTCTCTTGACTTCTTATGATCAAATGTGTGGTTTATTGTGGTTGTTTAAAGACTGTTTCGGTGTCGTTGTGTCGTGTTAATGGTGTCGTCTGACCTGTAGGCGGAGTGGAAGCTGGAGTCGTCCTCTCTCCCCCCGGGGTGGCCCACTCAGGGCTGCATCGACATCCGTGGTTTCAGTCTGAGGTACCGACACGACCTGGACCCGGCTATCTGTAACATCAACATCAACATCCAGGGAGGAGAGAAGGTCAGACTTGCTGCAGCAGTCGGCTCTTTGACTCTGGTGGATTTTTTTTACATCTACTGCATAGTGAAGTTTTTGGGGGTCTCTGTTTCATCATCAGGTGGGGATCGTGGGCCGCACCGGAGCGGGGAAGTCCTCCCTGACACTCGGTTTGTTCAGGATCATCGAAGCAGCGGGGGGACAAATCCTCATCGATGGCGTGGACATCTCCAAACTGGGCCTTCATGAGCTGCGATCCAGAATCACCATCATCCCTCAGGTGGGTTCACAGAGGACCTGTTCACAGCAGCTCTTCTGCGTTTGGAATAAAACCTGATTCCCCTCCTGCCTTCTGTCTCTCCTCAGGACCCGGTGCTGTTTTCAGGCTCTCTGAGGATGAACCTGGACCCGTTTAACAGTTACTCCGACGAGGAAGTGTGGCGAGCTCTGGAGTACTCACACCTGAAAAACTTTGTGTCTGGTCTGCCCGACAAACTGAACCATGAGTGCAGTGAGGGAGGAGAGAACCTCAGGTACACCGGAGACAGATGCAAGAATATCTCTCTGTCTTTACATGAAAAAGATTTTTGTTTCTTCTGCAGACCAACCCTCAGTCTGTTTTTCTCACAGCTGCAGCATCTGGTGTAGACTTTAATCTCGTCTCTTTCTCTCTCTGTGTTTCCTCTCAGCGTGGGTCAGAGGCAGCTGCTGTGTCTGGCTCGAGCTCTGCTGAGGAAGACGAAGATCCTGGTCCTGGACGAGGCCACAGCAGCTGTGGACATGGAGACAGACAACCTGATCCAGTCCACCATCCGGTCTCAGTTTGAGGAGTGCACAGTCCTGACCATCGCTCACCGCCTCAACACCATAATGGACTACACCAGGTACAAGATGTTCCACACAGCACAGTATTTAACGGAACAGTGGATATCCAGTCATATTAAAGTCTTTCAGACCTTTTGAGGGACCGTATCTAGTTTAGCTGAATAGACCTGAAGCTACAGAAATGTGCAGAATAACTCAGAAACTAATGAAAAATATTAAACACTTGTATATTATCTCTATTTTAACTTATTGTACTTATTTTATCAATTATTTATCTCCTCTTTTTACTGTATTTGCGCTGGAGTATTTCTGATTCTGATTCTGAAACCTGAGTGCAGTTTCAGGCTGTAGTCCTGGTCCTGGTTTTCATCAGTTCTCCGTCTCTTTCAGGGTCCTTGTTTTGGAAAAAGGAGAGATGGCGGAGTTCGACTCTCCCTCCAGCCTCATGGCTCAAAAAGGAGCCTTTTACAAAATGGCGAAGGACGCGGGGCTGGTCTGAACAGGTAGAGGACCTCGCCTGTCCTCGCCCAGTCCAGCTGCTCCACTGAGCCCCCTCCAGCTCCTCCGCCCCCCCCTGCTGAGGGGGTCCAGAGTCAGAGAGCGGAAAGCGGAGGAAGTAGGTTCAGAATAGAGTGCCTGAATGATAAATGAGGGGTGCCGAGGAGAACTCGGGTTCCGGTCCGAGCCGCTCCACCCTCATTTTTCACACAACGCCGCTCCTCACTGTTAATCCAGATTGCGCTCATGTACTCCTCGCTCTTACATGCTGTTGTTTCACATCACTGCCGTTTCCACCCAGAGGTGCAGATGAGTTCAGACTCTTATTTTGACAGAGGATTGTACTTGTGCTTGAGTTTTATTGTGGTAGGACAGAACCGCTGCAGTCTGACCGCTGCAGTCTGACCTGTACGTTTAAATCATGTAGTGCCAAATATGCCCTAAAATACAAAGATTAAACTGACTCTGCATGAATGGGCGGAGCTTTAGAGCGCCATCATCATCATCAGGAAGTGGAGGTGTTAGCATGTGATTGGTCAGAAACATCAGGTACGCTGATGATGTCAGACCTGAAACACATGAATAAGACAAAAGCTAAAAAAACGCACAAACTGTTGGATCGTCTCCGACCGTTTCCAGCGGACTCTGACTTTAAACGCAGCACTGACTGTTTATTTATTGTTTTTATGTTCAGCTTTAAGTTCATGAGGCTGCGCTCTGTGGTAAATGTTCTTTAATTAGGTCAGAAGGTACTGAATGTGCAGCAAATGGACCCCGTTATCTCCTCGGGTTCATTACAGTACAAATCTGAGGAGAAGTTACAGGTTCAAGTCGCACTCTACGCTAAAAATGCCAACAAGTTAAAAAAGGTCATTCAGAGTCGATGACAGCTGTCTGTTTTTGTTAACTTCTTTGTATTGCTGTGTGTACGTGTGTTTTATTTTAAGTAAATAAAGATATTTTGAGTATATCGCCCCGTTTTGTGTCTCATTGAGCCCGTATCACAGGTTTCTAATTTTATATTTTTAGAAAACAGGAGAAATTAAATGTGTCCGTCATGGGATTATATTCTCTATTCATGAGTGTGTTGTTGTTGTTTTTCTTCATTTATTGATTTTTCCAACATTTTTAAGGATTCAAGGAACTTTATTTGTCATACCCTACAGCTTAGACAGTCTGTGGTACGAAATAAGTAGCCAGGTCCGTTTCCAAGCCAAGAATAAAATACAATACTATAAATACAAATATAATACAATAGATAAAATACAATACAATAACAAGTTAGGCTGTAATTAGCCCTGTTGCACTAAAATTCCTGTATGGCACCTTCAACAGATACTGTTTACTATTATTTAGTGGAAACAAGTGTTGCTGTGTGCACATAAACTGTAGAGAGATCATGTGTAAAAGTCTTTAAATTTCAGTAAATACCGATCAAAACACGCTCCCTGTAAATTAAACACAAAGTTTTAACACTCTCAGATTCACAGTTCTACAAACAAGGCCACAACTATTCAAAAATAAGCCACCGTGTCTAGATTTTCTTATGAAATTTAAGATTTTAATGTTTTCATACGCCGTTGTAACGAAGGCGACACAAAACTACATTTCCCATCATCCTTTGTCGTCCGGTCCCGGTGGAAGGAAGATGGCGGCCATTGATGGAATGGGAATGCCGCTGCGGTTTTGATCGAAAAAAACCCCTGCATATCCTGTGTTTGACGATTTATTGAATGTATTAGAAAGAGCAAGCGGGCCATGCAGGACGGAAACTTTAACCTTTGACTTCAGATTATATCACTGCAGGTAAATAACCATCACATTTCTTAATTTGTTTTCTTTAGCAAGACAGCTACAGTCAGCTAAATTAGCTAACCTAGCTAGCTGGTGAGCAGCTGCCGACACATCCATGTAGAGACCAAACGCCCTCGGGTATTCGATTAAAACACTCAAAAAATGAAGAAATCGCGTTATAGTAACTGTGTGAGTGTTATCTACAAGGATATTAAACTAGACAATCAGAAAATGTGACAGAAGCGTGAACCTTAGGGGGTGTGCATCATGCTGCCTTTAGCTTAGCTGAGAGTTATTTTAGTGAGAAACGGTTCAGAAAAACACTAAAATACTGAGAGAGAAGCTTCAAAACAACAACACAGAGACACAGGGGGGTGTTAGTGTGTATCTGTATGATCGTGGTGTTAAAACAGAGATGTTACACAAAGGGACAGTTTGTGACAAACCGTCAGGATCAAACCTGGATCTTCACCTCCTTTACCTCTCACATCCTGATGGTTATATTTAAGATTAAAAGACAGAATTAAAGAAATTATGAAACATTTAAGTAATCGAGTCTGTTTAGATTTAATAAGGCTGATCAGAGTCCAGATTAATTCAGATTAAAGCTGGTATGGGAGCTCAAACAAGTCCTGGTACCTGCAGAAGTCTTTTGTTTGTTATTAAGAGATTATTGATATTGAGTCTTCTTATAAATCTGACAGCTGTGTGTTTCTTAAAGCTCTGTGAATATCAGTCATAACATGATAAGGTTGTGCGTTTTTATATATCATACATCAGAGAGTGCTTATTGGCATTGTTATGAAGTATCTCGATTTTTTCAATGTTTCTTTCTTTCCTTCTTTATTTATCTCAAACTTTAAGAACAACAACAAAAAACTAGAAACAAAAATACAGAACAAAATAATTTAAGTACACCTAGGGCTGGGCGATAAAACGATAACAATATATATTGAATATTAATTTCCGAAGCCGATAATGATAATCAGTGTTATAATATTCAGAATTAATATTACTTCTATGCAATCAAGTATATTTAGCATAAAACCATATTTTTGTTAGTTTACTTATATGAATTTTTTATTACTTCTGTAGTTTGATTTAAATATTTTTATGTTATTGTTCATTTTTAAAGTGAATGTTTGTTGTTAAGCTACTGATCAGTGAAAACAAACTAATTTAGGTTGAAATGAAGAGTAAATAAAGTGTATGTGATCTAGTTGTGCAGCTCTCATCACTCTCAGATACAGACTGTGTGTTTTCCGTCCGTTCCTCCAGATACTTTCCTGGTTCCAGTTTGCCAAAGTGGACCTCCAAGTGTTTCCTGCTCCAGCAGATTTCCCTGCTCATGGACTTGACTCCATCATCAGACTTTAAACGGAGGTCAGCCGCCTCCTCCTCTCCCGGTGGGGTCAGAGAGGTTCCCAGGAGTCCTCCTCTGCGCTCGCCATCCTTATCTGTGTCCTCTCCTTCGTCTCCTTCGTCCTCACCCTTGTCTACCTCCTCCTCCATCTGCGCCAACACGTCAGTGTATCGGAACCATGTAAAGGGTGAGACCCCGGGGCCGGAAGTGTCCCGGGTCTCCTCCACATCTGCCTCTACAGCAATGCAGTCTCACTCCACGCCTCCACCCAACACAGACTCCTTCTCTCACACCTCGGCTCAGCAGAGTGACTGTGAGACAGAGAGCAGGAAAAATGACATCTACGATCCTTTCAGTCCAACTGAGGGAGCCAAGGAAGAGGGGGAGGGGGAGAAGTACGACCCCTTCGACCCCACAGGATCCCCGGCATCGGACGCCGACGAAGGGAGCGGCGACGTGGCGGAGGTGAAGACAAACATGGACAAAGAGGAGGATGAAGAGAAAGAGGAAGAACCTCCAGATTCCACCGACAACCTGACAAACCTCCCCAGCCCCCATCTGGCCCCCAAGCTCCACCTGAGGAGGAGAGTGGACTGTAGCACCTCCAAATCCGGAGAGCAGAGGGAGGGGGGCGACTCGGACAACTCTGAGATAGAGGAGGGGGAGATAGTGGGGGCTGTGGACAGAGAGGGAGGCCTCAAGAGAGCAGCAGGAGAAATCCTCCCTCTGAACTCCCCCAGCGTCTCCTTCTTTGGGTCAAAGCCGGAGAGGATCCTTCGGGTTCTGGACGGGGATGGCTTTGTGTCCGTGCGAACGGAGGGCACCTGGGAGGTGGAGCCAGAGGAGGAGCCTGTGGTGGGAGTCGAGGATCTGAGGAGAAAGCTGGTCAGCAGGAGAAAGGAAAGATATCTCTCATTCCCTCCTTCTTCCCCGCTGTCTCCTCATACACCTCCTCTCCCCACCCATGCTCCAGCCTCTGCACCATCCTCGCCCCTCACCCCTCCGGTGGAGCAGATCAGCAAGACCACCAAGCCCTCCAAGAGCTCCAAGGACCGTGACTCACAGAAGAGCAAAGACAGAAAGACTGGTGAGAAAGAGGAGAGGAGGAAAAAGAGAAGGAAGGACAAGGAGGGAGGCCGAGACAGGAGCAAAGAAAAGGAAGGAGGACACAAGAAGGAGGCGAAGGGAACGAGGAGCAGCAGAAGCAGCAGCAGGAAGAGGAAGAAACGGCGGCACAGCAGCCAGGAGGCGTCCTCAGGGAGAGCGGGACACAGTAGACACTCCTTCTCCAGTCAGTCTGAAGAACGACTCCGAGAGAGGGACAGAGACAAAGACAAAGACAAAGACAGAGAGAGAGACAGAACCAGAGAAAGAGAGAGAGACAGAGATAAAGACAGAGAGAGGGACAGAGACAGGGAGAGAGACAGAAGAAGAGAGAGAGACAGGGAGAGAGACAGAGAGCACAGCCGCACCAGTAGTCGAAGACGAGAAGACCGAGAAGACCAAGACTCGAGCTCCAGAAAGAAGGACAGAGAGCGGAGAGGGAGACATTCGAGCAGCAGAGAGCGAGAGAGTTCGAAGAGGTCGAAGAGGAGCAGAGAGAAGAGAGACGGAGAGAGAGAGCGGCAGAGAGAGAGGGAGCGCAGACGAGACGGACGGCCTGTCGTCCCTCCGTCCATCCAAGACCTCAACGGCTCCGATCTCTTCGCCATCAAGAGAACCATCACCGTGACGACCACGACCACCACCACCACTGTGCCCGGCTCCCCCAGACTCAACCCCTCCTCCCCCTGTCGGCCCGCGCTGGAGTCCGACAAACCCCACAAGAGGAAGAAGAAGAGGAAATGGCACTCAGCCGGCGAGGTGGAGGAGCGAGGGAGCTGCCACAGCCGCTCGCAGTCTCTGTCGCCCCCCAGGTACCACAGCTACGAGTCAGACCACTACTCAGACAAACTGGAGATCGATGTGTTGTCCCTAGACGGCGAGGCTTTGGACTCTGACTACCCCTCTCTGGAGGACACGCCCCCCGCCGTCCTCCCACCAGAGCCGCCTGCCCCAAGTCCTAAAACGAAAGTCGCCCCCAAGACCGGACGCCATCAGAAAAAGAAATCTCGCACGTTCAAGAAAACGGGCCCGTCTGAATCCTCCTCCTCCTCCTCCAACAGAACCAAAAACAAATGCCTCTCCTCCATGATGGTGACCTCAGGCTCCACCTCCGTCTCAGCTGGTCCTCCGTTGGCGAAGCGGACCCGGAAGATCGGGAAAGACAAAGAGCGGGAAAAAGGGAGCAGGAAGGAACTGGGTCGCTCTGGGAAATCCAAGAAAGAGGGCGGCAGTCGAAAGGGCAAGCTTCAGTCCAAAGTGTCGGTACTGGTGCGTGAGGGTGTGAGCAGCACCACAGGGGCTTCTGTCGGATCTGGAAAGCTGCCCATGGACCTGCTGGGACCAGGAGGTGCAGGAGGAGGTTCTGGGAGCTCCGTGGTGGGGGGGTCTATCGCCGTTGTCTTCTGCAGGGACAACGAGAGCCGGTCTCCTTTCCTCAAACCGTGTTCAGAGCCGCTGTCTCTGGGCAGCCGGGGGAAGGAGCTGGCTCTGGGGAAGAGGAGCAGTCTCGCCGCTCCTCCGTCCTCCTTAACAAGTCCCGCAGGACTGAAGTCCAAGAAGACCAAACCCAGCTCCATCACCTCCACCTCCTCCTCTGCCTCCTCCCCATCTTCATCCTTGGCAACCAAACGCCGTCGCCGTCTGGGTAAGAAGACCCGAGATAAAGGCGGAGCTGCAGGGCTGGCAGCTGGAGACAGCAACCAATCAAAAGCCTCCTCTGAAGGTTGGGGCGGAGCTTCCCTCGACGGCCAATCAACAGCTGGAGATGGAAACAAGTCAGTCAGTCCACATCCGGCCCCTGCTGGCCCCGCACCCTGCTCCTCTTCCTCTTCCTCCTCCTCTACCTCCTCCACGAGTGTGCTCCCGCCCTCCTCCTCACCCCCCCACACTCCTCCCCCCTCCATGGCTGCGATGCGGGACACCAGGGAGTCTTCACCGGACTCTCAGACTGTGGACAGCAGCTGTAAGACCCCTGATCCTTCTTTCCTAGCAGAGGACTGTCCCACTCAGACCAGCCCCACCCTCCCAGCATCCAGCCCCTCCAGCATGTCAGCCCCACCGGGCGTGGGCCACAACATCGCCTTGTCTGCACCTCCTTCCAAGCCTCCTCCCCCAGATGAAGCCCCCAAATCTTTGTCCTCCCCGCCCTGCTCCTCTTCTTCAGGAGGCCTCAACTCCATCTCTCTGCCTCTGTCGTCCTCCGACCCCTCCTCCTCTTCGGTGTCCTCCTCCTCTGCTAGTAAGCCTCCGCCTCCTCCACCCCCTCCAGCGGCGCCTGCTCTCCCCTGGAGTCTGCAGACCGGCGTGGACTGCACCACTGGAGGAGTCCTGGCCTGTAAGTGTCTCCAGAAGTCTGAACGTTCTTTTCACACAGACTGTCCTGTCTCTGCATTAACGGGTCGCTTTCTTCTCCTCCTAGTAACCGCTTTGCTCTTCAAGATGGAGGAGGCCAACATCGCCAGCAGAGCCAAAGCACAAGAGTTCATTCAAGCCACCAGCCAGGTAAAGGAGCGGTGCAGAGCGAGTGAGCCCAAAGTCAGAGCTCGTTTTTCTACAACTTTTCTCCCCAAACAGAACAAATCTGCTCCAATCCACTTTATTTATATAGCACATTTTTAAAAACATTGTAGTTTACGAAAGTGCTGCACAACAGAATTAAAAGAACAGACACTGTAGAAAACATCAGGAGGAAATAAATAAAAGCAGGTAAAAAACACAAAAGCATAACAGAAATGAAAGTGATAAAAGGTCCATAAAGGACAAAAAAGGACAGAGATTACACAACTCTCATGCTGAGCTAAAAGCCAAAGAATGAAAATGAGTTTCAAGACGTGATTTAAAAGTAGAAAGAGTCAAGGATGTTATTATCTTGTGGCGATCCGTTCCACAATTTGGGAGCTACAGCTGAGAAAGCTTGGTCGCAACGGGTTTTCAAACGAGTATTTGGGACTGTAACTCCCGAGACTTAAGAGATAACTGCCAGATAAGATGTTTACAAAAGTTTTATTAATTTGAAAGATTTTTTCGGTGTCCTTCAAACAGCTCCGGGGAACATTCAGAGGTTGTTTTGCTGTGTTTTTGTCTTTACTTGTCTGTCTCCAGCCCTAACCAAAATAAATGTAGCTGTAGTTGCTAAATTTGTCAGAACGGATTATTATTTCTCGCTCCTTATTCTTGATCCTTGTTCCTTCTTTTCAGATCCTCTCACAGGCCAATCAGAACCAGTCTCAGCAGCATGCCCCGCCCTCCTCAGCGTCCTCCACGTCCTCACAGATCCCGCCCCCTCCGTCTCTTCCTCCCCCTCCCGGTCTGAGTCCGGCTCAGTTCATCCTCCACAGCTCCCTCCCGTTAGTCGGCTGCACCAAGACTCCGCCCTCTCTCCTGCACCCTTCCATGGGTGGCGGGTGTGCACAGACCCCGCCCCCGATGCTGCCTGCAGGGCTGTCAGGAGTGACTGGGAGCTCTGGGGACAGCGGCTGGGACAATGAGAGCAAAGACCCTGATAAGGTGAAATATTCTGTTGGTGTTCTGAGTGTCTCCCTTTTATTTCATACATAAATAAACTTGCTCTTGATGTGCTGGATGTGTATTGTAACGTGTGACCTCTATATCTCAGTACCTGAAGAAGCTGCACACTCAGGAGCGAGCGGTGGAAGAGGTGAAGCTCGCCATCAAACCGTACTATCAACGCAAAGACATCAATAAGGACGAATACAAAGACATCCTGAGGAAAGCTGTGCACAAGGTCAGAATCAAAACATTCATGTCTAATATCCTCATTCTCAGTTCACTACAAACTAAACTGATCAATGTTTCTGTGTTTGATTTCTCATCAGATCTGCCACAGCCGCACCGGAGAAATCAACCCGGTCAAAGTGAGTAACCTGGTGAAGCTGTACGTCCAGCGCTACAAGTACTTTCGGAAACACGGCCGCAAAATGGACGAAGAAGAGCGTGAAGACAGAGAGCCAGGAGCGCTGCACTCCTCCGCCTGAGAGGAGACTTTTTACACATGAACCCCCAACCCCCCCTTCCTTCTGCTCAAACATCCATTTTTGTTATCTAATGTTTTTATGATTTCACGGCCCACCTCGTCAATGCTTTTATGTGATCTTATGGAAGTCTGTGATCTCACTGTAAATATGTCTCACATATTCAAATGTATCACGTAAACAATGTCGAGCAGGTGGATGCGGTCATGCACACCTGTGTGGTCTGATAAGAAGATCCAGTACACCAAGCCTGCAATAAACTGACCTTTGTGAAGTTCAGTGTGTTCAGCTCTTGTGTTGGTATCCTTGAGAAGCTTGAAATAAATGACTTAAACTTATTTTTTTTATTTTAATCCCAACATCATTCCAAAACATCATTGTGACCAAACAAGAGAAGACTAGGTGTTCAATTGTTTCGTGTTCTGTTGTACAAGAAAACATGGATTAACTTCGAAATTAAACCTTTTACTTAGAGTTTCAGCAGCAGGATAAATACTGTTTATTAATTTGTACTAAATTTCTTTTACCTTGGGTGAAATTGGCCAATCTAGGTAATCTACAATAAGCCTTCGTTAATGTCATTTCATTATCTGTTAACCTTTATTTTCATTGACTTTTTGATGTGCTATTTTTTTCGCCCAATTCCAATTGAGCAATTTTTAACTCAAGTAGTTTAATAGACACATTTGAATTTGTGCGGATATTTTTAAACATGTATTTTAAGGGAAGTGGAATCGCCTTAGTGATTTAATCGAATTCTCTATAGGAGCATTTTAACTTTTTGTAATATTTACACTCGGTGATATAAACGATGAAGCGTTGGTTCGCTTATTGACGCCGCGGTGATGACGACATTACGTACAGAGCGTAGATAGCGTCCCATGGAGCCGCCGCTGTTTACGACAGATGTCCCTGGTTTACGGCAGCCCGCCATTTTATTCCGTGTTCACAGTGGTCGTGTATTCTTCGGAGCACACGCGGGGCCTGAACAGAGGTGTTTGTTTTAACTTTGGTTTGAGCTGTTTCAGATACAGTGAAGTGGTCCCGGAGACCCGCAGACAGAGCCCGGTCCTTCCTCCGGTCCATGGTCTAAATTTCTGTCCCCGCAGCGGAGGAGAGAAGGTAAAAACTCCGGTTAGCTTCATGTTAGCATGTTAGCTTTAGGTCCGATACACAGAGCTCGACAGTAGACGATCTTGAAACTGTTCAGACGGTGGTTTGGACGTAAAGGAAACTAATGTGGTCAAATTTACCTCAATAATTACCAAACTTGTTGCGCTAAAGTGATGTTTAAGCGGTAAAAGAGCCTTTCTGGGTGGAAACAACAGACAGTGTATGAAGCGTCCGAACTTCCGGCCTGGACCTGCTGCCGGTCGAAGCCTTGAGTCCTCATGCTCTGTTGTTCTTAATATTATCTCTGTTCTATCGGCATGTTTAGGTGAAAGATGACGCAGTTTCTACCGCCGAACTTGTTGGCTTTATTTGCCCCTCGGGACCCCATCCCCTTCCTGCCTCAGCTGGCCAAACTCCCCCATGAGAAACATCATAACCAGCCGTACAGCGGCATCGCTCCGTTCATCAGGCACTTCGAGGTGGGGGTCCACTCTAATCTCAATCTGATCACAGTTTCACTCTGTATGCATCTATTTATCTATAACCTTTTAAAACATTATTTTCTGATTATCAGGACCCTAGAGATGCCCCTCCCCCGACCCGGGCAGAGACCAGAGAGGAGCGGCTGGAGAGAAAGGTGAGATACTGGACCTCTGAGTGTGAGAGAGAAATACACTTTGACCTGATCTCAGGTTTGATTGCTATAGCCATTTTGATAAAACTTTTAAGTTCAAGATGACTAACATGTTTGTTTGCTTCTGCAGAGGCGAGAGAAGATTGAGAGAAGGCAAACTGTGATGGAGACAGAACTAAAACTCTGTAAGTGAAACATTCACTTAGGTCTGGGTGATTTGACAAAAAAAATGATAACGATATATTTCGTCGTACCGTCCGATCTCCATTTTTTAAACTGCTAGTTTTAAAGCATCTGTACTAGAAACTTAAGAAACTAGAGATCAGTTCAACATTTTAACTTCCAAAGTAAATAACAAATAATAAGAAACTTATAAAAATATATAAACCATTTTAACTCAACAATACAACAAAAGTAGATGAATACTCAATAAAACAGTGAACTAGTTTACAGTCCTGAGGGTTTTTGCAGGTATTCAAGACTCAAAATAAACAGATCGCCCCCTTAGAGATAATGAAGACACCTTAAAATATAAATTAGATGATGTTAACGTAGATGATTTGATTGTTTGCTGCTTTGGTCTGGTGGCTGCTGCATGTGTCGTCAGCAGTGACAGGCTGTGCAGAATCTACTCACATTTGAATCCTTTCTGCATAATCACTCGGGAAGTTCTTCAAATGATCAAACAGATCTGTTGTGTTGTCGGTTTTTGAGGCACCGACTGCCGACATACCTTACACATCGGCTTAGTTGCTCAACGGCACTTTGGAGCTACCAGAACCATCACTACACAACCGACGTTGAATAACTTTTCTTCTCAACATCCAACATCCTTCGGAGGATGACTTTGTTATGTTCACACTGGTTAACTCCCTATTTACTCCTTATTTCACCAGGGGACCCTCATAATGACCCCAACGCACAGGGGGATGCCTTCAAGACGCTGTTTGTTGCCCGAGTGGTGAGTATGTTAGGAGCGCATATTTAAACACAGCGATTAATTTGCTGCTTGCTGTCGTTTTCTAATAAAATTGTGTTTTTGCTGCAGAACTACGATACTACAGAGTCCAAGCTTCGCCGTGAGTTTGAGGTCTACGGCCCCATCAAACGGGTAAGTTTGGCCCCCACGTTATCCCTCATCAAGATCTGTCCATATGCAGCTAGTAAGCTTAAGACCAAACTTATTGTTTATCAACAAAACATGGTGCAGGCACAGTTTTAATCATGTTTCATTGAGGTAGGCGTTGCAAAACTCAGACCCAAACTGAGATCCTCAATTTTGAAGAGGACAAAGATCGATCTAGACATTAAGATGTGAGGCATCAAACTGTAGGGTCTGGTTTGCACTTCTAGGTTGACTTTGAGCACTGTAAACGTGGGGGTTGGCGTGTCTGCATTGCTCTGCAATAACCCCCCTGAACACTAGGTGGCAGTGCAGTTTTTATGCTCGTTATTTTACTAATTTGAGTCAGTCAGAGCTTCTTTTATATAAACATGTAGGGGTTATTCGTTGGTACATAGATGGTGAATGTTGCAGAGTACCAGGAGGGAAGGTCTAAAGGCTAAAGTGAAGCAATGCTTGATAGTAACGTCCTCGACTGCTTTGCGTCTGTTAGACAGAGGCTGCTAAAGTAATCCCTAGACATCTTGTGTATTTTTTGCACGCCACCGCTGATCCATAGTGTCAAGCTCTGGGCTGCTCATACTTTGAACATTCACATGAGAGGAAAATTCAGCCAATCTCCTGAGATTTAAAATCAGATTCTCCGCGTAAAGACCAACTTTCAGACACTTCTGCTTCTGTGTGTTTGCGTGTGATACTGGACTCGATGCTAACGCGCTTGTTTGTTTCAGATTTACATTGTGTACAACAAGAGGACGGGGAAACCTCGGGGCTACGCCTTCATTGAGTATGAGCATGAGCGTGACATGCACTGTGAGTACCTCCTGTTAACCTTCTCCACTTTGTTCTGTGTGATGATGTGAAGACATGTAGCTCCCCTCCTTTGTTTTATAAGTGTGATGATGATGATGATGTAATGATACCTTTGGGGCGGGGCTTTCTTTAACCACCTGGAAGGTGACATCTTTACTCCGACCTTTGTCACTGTCTGCATGTTGAATCCCAGTCTGGTGGTTGTGTGTGTGTGTTCGATGTGTGTGTGTGTCGTCAGTTGACTAATAGACTGGTTGAGGAGGGCGACTGTGTCATTCATTGGGGCATGATGGGAAAGTGGGAGGAGCCAGAGGTAGCAGTGTGTCTCTGATGCTGAACATGTTTGCCTGTCAAAGGGCACATTGTGTTTTAACTGTTAGGCGTGTAGCTCTGTGAAGGCGCAGCTCTCCCGGTGGACTCTCTTGGTAAGCACAAGGTCACATGGTCACCACGCAGCGACCAATCATGTGTCTAGGGCTGTTGTATGACTAGTCTCTGAGCCTGTCTGTCAGTTTTTTAAGGTGGTCTTCAACCCTGGTCATGCTGAGCTTAGTGTAGCGTCACCACAGTATCTGGTAGAGATTAAAGCCGGTGGTGATGCCTCAGATTAACGCAGAACTGTCTCTCTAAACACCGAATGGTGCCATCTAACACGTGGACACCATTCTGGGACATAAGCGCGATCAGCTGTTCAGACCAGAGTTGCTGAATCACAGCAGCATGTAGACTCAAGCAGGGGGAGGACTGAGGGGGGACGTGGGGATAAACACTATATTAACTGTGTGTTGTTCTCATTGCCACTGCAGCCGCCAATCTGTGATGGCTATTGGCCAAAGCTGGCTGGCAGATGATGATGGTTATGATACATCTACACCCTACTACCACAGCTCAGTATATGGTTGGTATAATGGGTTTGTATGATGGGTAAGATTTCTTTCCACCCTCCATCTCCTACATAGGGCAGACCAGCTGCGTTCAATGGCTAAAGCCTTTCTGTACACGACCCGGAAAAACTACTTCCTATTCACTGACTAAAACTCTGCTGCAAGCCTGCAGCTGGCTTTGACCATTGAATGCACCCCTGATAGAGTGAAATATCGCCCGATGACTCTGCCCTTTTTATGTGAAAGCCACCTCTGCGCGCCGAGGTTAGATTCAGCCAATAAGAGAAGACTGAACGGCTGTGAAAAAACGTACGAACGTGTCATATCTCCCCAAGTTTAGTGAAGGAGGAGTGAAATAATGCTCCAGAAGGAGGAGGGTTCGAGGGATTAAAAGGAACTTTTCTGATTGGGCAGAGAAGATCCACAAGAGCATGAAACGGCGTATGATTGGTAGCTGCGGTAACCTTATGATAGGGATGTTAATGACGCCAAATTGTTCAAAAGTCTGCACACCATCATGGACCTGTGATTAAAAGATGGGTCCTTTGAGCAAAAATGGTCGACACAGGCAGAGAGATGATTTCTGAGGCTGCTAAATCTGTCATCTAGAACTTTGGTTTTCACAACAGGAACTGCGGGACTGCTTAGAAGAGCTAACGTTACTGAAATCTCACCATGACGAGATTTGAGAAGGTGCACGTGAAAAAAACTCCAGCTAAAGGAAACTTTTACACTCAACTTTTCTTAGTTTTGTTTTTAGATGATCTCGATAAATTCAGGGTGACATTATTGTGTCGTCAAATTTCGAGATTTAATCCCTACCTTACAGCTGTAGCTTGGAGGAAACTAAGACTGTATACGCTAAAATCACAGGATCTGTTTTGCTCTTTTCGCCACACGCGTGAGTATTTATCGCCATCAGGAAACAAAACTGAATTATAAAGATGCACTGGAACGCGTAACTTTGATAATTGTCCTTACCTGTATTTTAAAATAGACCCGGTTTTAAAAGATGCTGCAGAGTAATAAACATCCAGTCAGAGCTGGCTTTGACAGAAAAGGCAGATGAGGGCGATGTTGTTGGTAATAAACGGGTTATTCATACATAATCTATTCCCACATATCCAAAGATAGATGATGTCCACACAGATGTATTCAGATCAGTGGTCAGGTTCAGATACTCGCAGACATATTGCAGTAGTTGAAGACATGTTTATCATCATGTCAGAGTAGCTCAGATCGAGGACACATCACTGACCTCTTAGACAAACACACACAGACAGACAGTTTCTTTAGTTTGTTTCTCCTCTTCAGTCGGTAAGTTCTGGTAGTTCTGGTGGGGGTTTGGTAAGGCCCTGTCATTGACGGGACGAGGATGTCCTCAGAGAGAACAGGAAGTGGAGGGGTTGTGGTAAGGCCCCCTGTTAGAGGTGTTCGGACACCGTGTGTCCAGGTGGACTTTGATCAGGCCCTGATAGTGGGGCAGAGACCTCAGTGTTACCTGTGAGTGAGAGACTCTGGTAAGACCGTCAGCTGTAGACTTTTGAGGGAGTTTGGTAAGACCCTCAGACTGTGTTCTGTCACTGCTGGGTTTTGGTAAGGCCCTCTTCATGGACTGAAAGGTTTTACGTTGAGGGATCGTCACCATATCCGACCAATGAGCTGCCTGGATCTCATACGGGATGGATCAGTGGCTGTTGTGTGGTATACGGGGACGGGTTGGGGGACAGCGTCTGAGTGCAAACTTTATTTTAAGGTCGTCAAAGTGCTTTTTTTTTCTGTAATACAACAATTTAAATACAGGTAGTCTCCAAATTTAACATTGAGAGGGGAGGACTCCGGCACCTTGGAGTGCTTTGTTTATTTTTTTAATGTCTTTCCCTGCAGACTGTTGGCTTCAGGCTCCATACAAAAATCCTCTCTACTATCACAACCATAGAGTACGATATGCTTCCACCAAGAAGCCGCTGAGAGCAGATTTAAGTGCTTGCCACAGACTCTCAAACACCTGAAATATGTACAATCTTTGTGCAGATATTTAAAGTTAAACTCATTATTAAGCAGCTTTGTTTTTAAATGATTTAAACATGAGCTTCTCCAGAGCCTTGGGTTTGGTTATTTGCCACATTAAATCCTGAATGTTTGAGTGTTGTCTGTGTGGAAGAGAATCTGTCGAAGTGAAGAGTGCAGGAGAGTAAATCTATGTGCTAAATGAGGAAAACTTCAGTGAAAACATCCTTAAGACTTTGAAACACACTTTGGTCCTCACTGTTGTCCAACACGGACTGTAAAGGAAGTAAAATCTCGTAGATTATCGTGTATCAAACTTGTATGAATCACTCATCGGGTGGAAGGAAGTCTGCTCCCGTTATCCTTCGGCTTTTACCCAGAGAGCAGCCATCTCGGCCTCGCCTGCTCCTGGTCAGTATCATAAAGCACTGTTTGTTTCCTTTGACCACACTGATGCTCTCGTTCTCCATCTCAGCCGCCTGTCTTTCCTCTCCCCTCCCTCTCCTCCAGCCGCCTACAAACACGCAGACGGGAAGAAGATTGACGGCCGGAGAGTGCTGGTGGACGTGGAGCGAGGGCGCACTGTGAAAGGATGGCATCCTCGCAGGCTAGGTCAGCTGATTTTATGACACAAACCCTCAGACCTGTAAGGTTAAAGGTTAATGGTCGAGCGCAATATTATTTCATACAGTCAGAGTTTGTTGCAGCAAAGCAAGAGTTAAATAGCTCTTAAGACTTTACAGCAACATTTTTATCTAGACGACTAACTGATTTGAGTTTACTTTTCTGACACCTCTGGAATAATGATATCCAGTTAAGTCAAACTGATATTAATTAATATTAAATGTTGCTTACAGCTTTTGTCCAGTCAGAGTCCCGCCCAGTGAACCTGCTGAGCAGCAAAAGTAGAAAACAAGTAAACAACTCCTAATGACTTGATTTATTTTACTCTGGATGTTGTTGGGCTTAAAGGGATATTCCGGCGCAAAACTATTTTAAGGTCAAACACACCATAACACGGAGTTAGACCTCCCCCTCCAGAGATGAATGTTGTCGACCGCTTGCTTCTCTAGTTATACCAACTTTAGTAACGACCGCAGGATAGTAATACAGAGAGCCACGCCCTCAACCAAAACGCCACTCTATAGCCACAAATAATGCTCAGAACAGCACCTAACTTCATCAACAGTACATATAGAGTCACAGACATAGTACTAGACACCAAACATCTTTTTAACTTTGACTCATTTCTTTAGCAAAGAGACTAAACACAACTCACCTACTCTCTTCCAGCAGTCACTTCTTTGTAGCGAGACCTCAGGCCGGTTCATTACAGACTACAGTGGGGTGAAGCAGCTCAAGGAAGAACATATATGATCATTTCTTCATGGAAATACAATCAGACCGAGACGCTAAGGCAGAAGAACTACAGCGTCTGCAGAGCAAAATGATTAATATGGTGATTATTACTTAGAGGAAATGATCATAAATGTTCTTCCTTGAGCTGCGTCACCCCGCTGTAGTCTGTATTAGACTGGCCTGAGGTTTCGCTACAAAGAAGTGACTGCTGGAAGAGAGTAGGTGAGTTGTGTTTAGTCTCTTTGCTAAAGAAATGAGTCAAAGTTAAAAAGATGTTTGGTGTCTAGAGAGGTCACAACGAAGGATTTAGTGTAAATTTAAGCTTCAGGCTCTACTCTCCAGCTTTACAAACACGCTTTGTGTCCGAGCCTCTTATTTGACCTCCAGTAACCTTTATCTACACTAGCTGCTTTCTCTCTGAAAACTAGATGATTGCTGGACCACATGTTGACTCCGGCGCCTTCTGTTAGATTTAGACTTAACTCTCTCACATGTTTTCACTCAGGTGGAGGATTGGGCGGCACCAGGAGAGGCGGAGCTGATGTCAACATCAAGCACTCTGGACGAGACGACGCCTCACGTTATGACGACCGTTCTCTGGGCGGGTGAGTGATCTGAGAAACATCTACTCTTCAATACTCAATACTGTACTCTGTGTCTAACAGTTTTCACTCGTCCTCACCTCCTGCAGCGATCGAGAGCGAGGAGAAAGGCGGGAGCGCAGCAGGGAGCGAGACAGGGACAGGGACAGAGAGCGCAGGAGGTCCAGATCCCGGGAGCGCCGCAGACGCACTCGTTCCCGCGAGAGAGAGAGGGAGAGGGAAAGAGCTCCAGCCGCAGTTGCAGAGGAGGGAGGTGGCAGCAGGCGTAGAGAGCGAGAGAGGGAGCGTGCAGGAGGAGACGACAGCAGGAGCAGAGAGAGGAGCCGAGAACGCAAGAGGAGGAGCAGGAGCCGAGACCGCAAGAGAGACAGGGAGAGAGGGAAGGGCGTGGACGGGGAGGAGGTGGGGCAGGGAGACGGGGCCCCTGAGGGTGGGGAGCGTATGCTTGAGGAGCATGAAGGAGAAGTGGGGGAGGGCATGGAGGAGCGCAAAGACAGGGACCGGGACAGAGACAGAGACCGCCGACGCAGCCACAGGGACAGAGACAGGCGCAGGGGAGACAGGGACAGAGACAGGGAGCACAAAAGGGAGAGAGGGGACAGGGAGAAGGGCGAGCGCAGAGAGGAGAGACACATGCGGGACGACATGGGCCCCCAGGATGAGATGGGTCCAGAGGAGGAGGGGGGAGCGCCTCCTAACATGGAGGAGTACAGCCAGGACGGGATGATGATGGAGCCGCAGTCGGTGCCTTCAGCTGACGGTTACGGCTCCGGAGAGAACGGATACAAGATGGAGCCGCCAGGAGATGAGTACTGAGGCCCCTCCCACACAAATCAGTCATTCATACTGTTGATTCAAGAGTGTGTGTGTGTGTGTGTGAGGAGGAGGACCTATTTTTAAATTAATGTTTGCATATTTCACCGCTCACCGTTGATTTGATCCTCCAAGAAAATGAATCCGTGCCACTCAGTGTCCTCCGATCAGTGACGTAATTTTCTTTTTTTGGATGAACTGTAAAAACACGAGCGCGGTTCCTCGAAGGGTCGGCCGTGTTTGACTCCCAGATTTTATTTTGACTCAGTTTCTGCTCTCTGTATGTGAAATAGAAGGAAGTGTAGTCATGTTATTATGAGGCTGTTCTGTTTATTCATTATGGAATAAATCCTTTTTTTTTAATTATGTCTGTTTGTCAGTTATTGTGTTTGCGCTGCACGAACGGGATGGTGGTCTGAAACTGAAGGAAGTGAATTCAACAGAAATTATTACTGAGAATTTAAGTTTGATATATTCTGATGGGTTAGAAATTGTTGGTGGACGACATATGACTTCAGCAAATACATGAGATCACTGACGAGCCTTTTAAAAATATTTTAAAGCTTCAGTTTTTAGTCTTTTTAAAAGTTTTTCAAAGACACTAAAAATTTCAATTTTTAGTCTTTTGAGAAGTTTTTTAAAGCTCCTGTGAGGCCCTTTTGTTTAACCTCTGTTCAAAAATCTCATCTTGCTGATTTTTAAAAGATAGTTATGTCATTTTTAGTAATATTAAATGTGTAAAATAAAAAATTGTGCTGCTCTATTGACACCCAACCCCTCTCGTCAATTTAAGGCTTTAAAAAAATACACTTTAAAAATCGTCAGTCTTGTCTTTCATGGTTGTGTTTGATTTTGGGGTCCTATTAGAGGACATCAATATAAATTTCAGTCTATTTTATGAACATCCCAAAACTCCTTATAGAAGCTTTAATGTTTAAGAATACATTAGATTTTTTTTATGCTGTTTTAATTAGTTGCCAGTGATGTTGAGACAGTGTCAGTCATTTTTCTGTGGGTGGGTCTGACTGTCCAGAGTCGAAAGTCAATTTCTAAGTAATTTTATTTTCAGTAATAAAAAATGTATGCTTTTTAAACATATGCAACAAGCTCTACAAAAAAACCCTAAAAGTCTTAAAATATGTGCTTCACATACCCTTATATTTTAGATTCTATATTTGCTTTATTTATATATGATACTTATATTAATAATTTTGTAATAAAATAATAGATTAAAAAATGAGAAAAGTCGATGTGTAATGTTAATAAAGCAGTAATTTTCAAAGAATACAGTATTTAATGAGAAATAAGGCTATAATTTATTTTAAATGTGATTTTTAGAAACTGATTTTATCTATTGTACTTATACAACTTACAGATAATTTCTCTGTTTCTTTGTGATTTTTACTTTATTTTTTCCTCCTCTTCGTTTTTCTCCTTTTTGGCCCTCTGGAGCCTCCATACAGACTCTGAGCTCTTTGAACTAAGAAGATGCTGAGTCTGCTCCTCAGAGAGATTTGCTTTATTCATATACGGTACTTATATTAATAACATAGTAACATAAATATAATAGAATCAAAAAAGATGAGAAAAGTTGATAAGTAATGTCAATAAGGCAGTAATTTTTAAAGAATATGGTACTTATTGCAAAATAAGGCTACAATTAATATTATATTTGATTTATAGAAACTGATTTTATTTATTTTACTTATAAAACTTACAGATAATTTCCCTGTTCGTCTGTGTTTTATATCTTCTTTTCCCCCGCTCACCGTTTTTCCTCCTTTTTGGCCCTGCTGAGCCTCCATAGCCTCCTCTGAGCTCTTTAAACGCAGAAGATGCTGAGTCTGCTCCTCAGAGCGTCACACACTGAACACAGCTCTGCTCCTCCTGCTGCTGCTGCTCGCTCTGGTACTGGTTCTGGTTCTTTGTTTTGGTTTCTGCTCCTCACTCGCTCATCCTCTCACGCTCTCATCTCCTCGGAACATGGACTCCGGGTCGCTGTGAACCGAAACTCCAGCTCACGCACAGTTCCCGGGGATCATCAGGCTCACTATGATGTCCTCTTACTATCATCCCACCAAGGAGGCGGAGATGGCGGCCATGACGGAGCCGCTCTGCCTGGAGAGAGGTACCGAACCAGCTGACCCGGTTCGCTGCGACCCATTAAATCTGAATTTGTGTGTTTGACATGCGCAGTCGGCTCTCCACTAAACAGAATTATGAATGAGTATCGAGAGGTTTTGTGTCAGACTCGAACATCAGGGGCTGTCGCAGTTTTTTCTGCAGATGTGTAAACGGCTCGGCCTGTCGCGCGACCAACAGCGCGTGTCCGGTCGGGTCCTCTCGTGCTCTCCGTTCAGACTGATCCGGTTATTAATAACGTCCTGCTGGGAAGCACGCGGGCTGTTGTCCGTAAGAAGGCTCACGGGTAATCCCGCACAGAGGTGGAGACGTGCGGGCCTGCAGACATGCACAGGTGCTCCTAGGACCGGGGTTTAGATATGAACACAGGAGCAGACCTGCAGTTAGGATCTGCTGCAAATTATACAATAAATATGACAGGGATTTAATGCAAAGGTGGGATTAAATTTAGTGCATTTAAAGGAAACGTGCAATTTAACACAGATTATAAATCCTGCAGCAGAATAATGAGCAGAATCAGTAATACTTCAATAATCTCCAGGGGGAATTTTCTTTTTGTTACAGGAAAGAGGAGATAAATAAGTAGATAAAGAAATAATCAAATAAGCAATATGTATACAGTTTTACAATGTACAAGTATGTACGCTACATACAACACAAAATAGTGGTGCAGGCAAAAAACATGACCCCAGTGATTTGACACCTGCAGGACCAAATCTGTGTTATTTTACTGTCACAAACTTTGCAAATGTATGAGTTTAAAAATGTGAAAAAGGCAAAAAAACATGAAAAATAACATAACATGACAATAAAGTGTATTTATACTTTTATTTAGAGTTCATCAATATTTCTGTTTAATGAAGTTTAATATAAAGAATCTGTAAAAGTTATTTAAAACATGCAGCTGAAAATGAAAGTGAAGCAGCAGGTTCTTTTGTGCAAAAAACAAAAATAAGAGATTCCAGTTCAGTAATAATCCCAGGCTGCAGATTTAGAGGTTAGTAAGACTTAGTGAAAGGGATATTCTGGCGTAAGATTAATTTAGGGTCAAACACACCATAACACTGAGTTAGACCCCCCCTCCATAGATGAATGTTGCTGACCGCTTGCTTCTCTAGTTATACCAACTTTAGTAACGACCGCACGATAGCAATACAGAGCGGTCTGAGGAGCCATAAACAAACCTCGACCAAAACGCCACTCTATAGCCACAAATAATGCTCAGAACAGCTCTTAACTTCATCAACAGGACATATAGGGTCACAGACATAGTACTAGACACCAAACATCTTTTTAACTTTGACTCATTTCTTTAGCAAAGAGACTAAACACAACTCACCTACTCTCTTCCAGCAGCTGCTTGTTTGTAGCGAGACCTCAGGCCAGTCCATTACGGACTACTGCGGGGTGTCGCAGCTCAAGGAAGAACATTTATGATCATTTCTTTATCATTGAAGTAGTAATCACCATATTAGTCATTTTGTAGACGTGGTAGTTCTTAAACATCTCGGTCTGATTACATTTTTATGAACAAGCAGAGCAGAGATGTTAAAACTGGGGTAATAATGTGTTTGGTAGAGGGTCGTTCCAGTCAAACTAAACCTACTTAAAATAAAAGCAAAGATGAGCCTCTTTTGGTCCTTCTGGGACACCAACAGCCTGATTGTATTTTGGTTTTTAAGTTGATAAAATGATGTTTTCCAAGACAACAAAACAGCTGATTTTTTTGTGTTCTCTTGCAGCCAAAATATTAACCGCCTCCATTTCAACCAGTTGAAGTATTTGTTAAAGTTTTCAGGGAGAATGTCAAACATTTAGTTTGAGTTATGACCCCTCTTGGAAACCTCGCCTGAGGCCTGTTCAAGCTGGAAGAGCGAGGCGTTCATCGTTCAGGCCTGTGTCGACTGAATCTGAAGTGATAGACTGTCACAGTGAGCCGTGTCCCTGAAGATCCTCTGAGCCGACTGTGCTTTGTACTGGCCTTGTCTGTGTTTGTGTGCTCCTGTTTAATGTGTGTGTGTGTGTCAGATGTGTGCAGGGTGATTGAGCTCCTGGACCGGCTGCAGCGGAGCGGCGAGCTGCCTCCTCCCAAACTGCAGGCGCTGCAGAGAGTCCTGCAGAGCAAGTTCTGCGCTGCTATCAGAGAGGTTTGCACACACTCATGCACGCGCAACAGGATGTGTGTTTCTGCATGCACGGAATATTTACATAGTTTTTGAATGCACTGTTTGTTGTTTAGTCTTCTGTGCAGCTAGAGTGTATTGTGGCCCTTAAACACTAGATAGTAAACGTGGTGATTGTGTGTTTGATATGTCATTTTTCTGCAGGTGTACGAGCAGCTGTACGACACTCTGGACATCGTTGGAGGACCAGAGGTTCGTGCTCAGGCTACAGCAAAGGTATCCCAGGCTTTTTTGATCACTTACTTTAGAGTCACTGAGCTGAGTTTTAATTGCACAAGCAGAGCAACGAGTGGGTTGTCTATGTACTTCAGAGGTGTGGTACATGATTCCCTAATGGGCAGAATTTGGCAGGAAGAAATCATGAAATGAGAGCAGAGATCCCAAAACTCTGTGAACATCAGAGAGACTCGATTCTGACAGCTGAGAGGTTGAAAGGAATATTAATGGATCCCGGCCACCACTCCCAGAAGCTTTGCAGTCCCCCTGCACGACTCTCTGTCTGTCTTCTTGCATCAACAGCCCCTCAAAATGTGATTTCTTCATCTTCTTTATCCTCCTCCTCAGTAACAGTGATCATCTCCCCAGACTTGCTGCTCTGACTTTAGGGCTTTGGCACTTTCATGGTCAGTCCGTTCTTCCGTCGGACCGAAAGACGAAAATAAATCCAGGACGCTCAGGATTAATGAGGGCCGCTAATCTGATGTCCGCAGCATAAACAGGCAGATTACCGAGTTATAATTAACAGACCAAAACAACAGCCAATCACTGTCTGACGTCTGCTGTGTGTTTTCTATGAGCTCAGACTCTAAATCAGGACCAACAATGTCCAGACTGCTTTACAGATCACAGATTATGTGTGAAAAATTCAGTGTTTTTGCAGATTAGGGTGATTTATTTTCCAAATCATAACGTCCCCTCCTCCTCCACAGGCCACAGTGGCAGCCTTCGCAGCCAGCGAAGGCCACGCCCACCCGAGGGTGGTGGAGCTGCCCAAGACGGATGAGGGTCTGGGCTTCAACATCATGGGGGGCAAAGAGCAGAACTCCCCCATCTACATTTCCAGAGTGATCCCGGGGGGCGTGGCCGACCGCCAGGGAGGACTGAAGAGAGGAGACCAGCTGCTGTCCGTCAACGGGGTGGTAAGAGGCTCCGCCTGCTCACTCCGTAACTGTACATGTACGAGACAGAAACTTAGTCAGTGTCAGTGGATGACCTACACATCTTCAGCTGCAGAGAAAACCCAAAGAGGAGATGCAAATCAGAGGAAAATTCATAGCATAAGCCGCTAAAAAGAAAAAAGAGAATATTTCCAGAATTAAAGATTTAGAAAAAGAGATAAAAGATGAGGAATTAGACCTGTCAAAACACTTTACAATGGGAAATTTCAAGAACTCTGCAAGCTTAAATGTTCCTTACATGGATCATCAGGAAGAAAAATGTGCACTTTATAGATTGAAAACAAACTTTTAAAAAAGGAGATGCAAACAGAGGTTCACGATGTGGTCCCAGAATTATCCTGTTAACACTGCTGCACTTCTGAGCGACACATTTCACCTGAAAAACTCCCAGGGAAAAGTCAGAAGCAGTGTTCACTTTGTGTCGAACAGATTTAAGAACCACAAGTTTGAGCGATCCTCCTGCAATATTAAAAGCCTTTATAAATACTGTGTGCCAGTATTACAGAGGGTGTTCAGGAGATGTGCAATCAGCTACAGACACTGAAAAACTAACAGTTTCACCCAAACAAGACCTACAAAAACAGCAAAAGCATCCAAACCAGAAGCTAAAAAATGCAAATCACTGGACATGTGTGTATAATCTAAATAGTCTGAATAACTGCACACTGTACTGACACAAATGGACATGAGAGGTCTTTAAACAAGAATTTAAAATGTAGAACAATGAAACTTTAAACAGGCAGTTAAGAGTGCAGTTAGCTGATAAAATTGAGACATTCACATGTGTGCGCTGACATTTATCACCTTATAATGAGTTGAAATTGAGTTGAAATCGTCACCAAGTCCCTGAGAACCTTTTTTACTCACTGTTTGCTGTTTTTGGAGAGTCATATTGTCATCCTGGTCTATAATTTTACAGACACACACTTTATTTCTCATATTAAAGTGATTTTTTAAAGCTGGGCTGGAGTGCAGCAGTTTGTTGAAATTGAAACTCCTCATAAAAGACCAAAACTGAACCTGAGCAGATCTGTTTTTTTGTTCTATCATGTCAGAATATTCGTCTTGTCACACCAAAGCAAAAGTCTTTTCAGTATTTTTACTACAAACCAAATTACAGCAGCTCGTCAGCATGTAACAGAAGCACTTTGGTGTAGAGTCTTTATGAAAATGTCCAGAGGAGTCCTCTGATCTGGGTCCCCTCTCTGCTGGTCTCTGTGATCATCACTCGGTCTGGAGCTCTCCAGGACACAGCGTGACGCCGTCTGTCTTGTCTGTGTCCCTGCAGAGCGTGGAGGGCGAGCACCACGAGAAGGCCGTGGAGCTGCTGAAGGCGGCGCAGGGCTCGGTGAAGCTGGTGGTCCGTTACACCCCCAAGGTCCTGGAGGAGATGGAGGCCCGCTTTGAGAAGATGAGGAGCGCCCGCAGACGACAGCAGCACACCAGCTACTCGTGAGGATGAACACGATCGCTGTTGAATATTTTTGTGTCTGCAGGGATTTAACACTCAGAACTCCCACGTGACACCATTCATATTTACAGTTTCTCAGGATCTATACCGCGTATCTCTACGGAATAAAAAGTGTTCAAAAGTTCACCCTTTTGGTGATCTATCAAGGGTTTCTAGACATTTCTACACCTGCCACAAGGTTTACAATCCAGCCACAAAAATAGGTGTTTGAGGATTTTAGATTTATTTTTAAATAAATAAATAAATTAATATATAAATAAATAAAAAACAGGCAGACCAAAAATAGTAGAATATAACTGGGAGTTTAAGGGTCAATCCAGAATGATTTCAGGACCATGGATAGCTCAGCCAAGTCATGTGTCCCAAAGCAGCCAATAAAAACTCGGTTCTTTCCACCTTCACCGCCACAAAGTGTCTGATGAATTTGAACTTTATTTTGTGTATTTTTAGGAGTTTCCCATCATGCATTGTAACCCCCTCTGTGTTCCTTCACAGGTCTCTGGAGTCCAGGGGCTGATCCTCCATCTCTTCATCCTCCCCTCCTCCTCCTCCTCCTCCTCCTCCTCCTCCCGCTCTCTGTTCCTTTGGGAGGAGAGACCGTAGATGAGAAGCAAAAACCAAAGTAGCCTACCAACACGTGTTACCTGAACTTCCTCATGAGGCCCCGCCCCTTCTTCCTGTTTCCTGTTTCTTAGAGATTCGGAGTGAAGCTGCTTGTTGTCAGACGTGCCTGTGTGTTATAATCCTCAGCATCCTCTTACTAAAGGGCAACTTATTATCTAAATGTGATCTGGATGAAATTCTCAGTGTTTCTATCGTCATTATTGTCATGTGGGTCACTGCGTCCCTCAGCAGTGTCTGCAGGTTTTAACCTCACTGCTGCTCCTCTATCTCCTGTCCCAGCTGGAGGGCTGACCATTAGCATCAGGAAGAGCTAAACTGTCATCATCTTAGTGACATGTTTTTATTCATGTATTTGTATTTATTTATTACATATATATTCATGAAATAAAGTCAAACTGTGCAGGTTGATTCGCGTCTTTTACTCCTGCTGCGGCAAACAAGAAGGGTCACATGATAAAAAACTCCTCTGAGGTGATGTTATTATCTGTGTTTTTAAAGTTTGTTAGTGTTTAAATTGATAACTTTGTTGTAGATAAGACACGACTGAAAGAAAACATAAAAGTCAAAACATCAGGGCTACGGTTTAATTATTTTATTAATCAAAAATGACAAATCAGCTGAAATTAGAGTGTTTTTTATTCAATTCGCTGCATGAAAAACAGAAGCAGAAGTATGATTTACATTTCCGTAAATGTTTCTTTAAGATAAATCAAGTTTTTTGTCTCGACTGTAAAGATAAGATATCGCTAAAGCTACTGTATTTTCCTATAATGTTGTTTTGAAACCAGATAAATATGAACAAACTAAAACATGTAGTTTAAAAGTGAAAAATTAATAATACTATGCTAACAATAATTAGAATTTTTCATCTCCATATATTATGTATTTGTATATATGATGAGGATAAATGTCAATATTCAATACTGAATGTTAATTTGCTAATTTATTGTTTACAGACCTGTTGCTATGGAACCTCACAGTGTTAGTTTTTGGCTTTGTTTTGATCAAACAGAACATTATCTAATCATAATATTAACTTATCAAGGAAAATATAATTTTGTTTAAGTTCAGGACGTGTTTTAAACGGAGCATATATTTTTTTTTGACAATTGCCATTAATTAATTTCAGCTTCACTGTCGCTGGTCAGTCTAACAGAGAAGCCAGGTGTTACTTTGCTGAGTTAGTCTCAGGAAAAATGGTAAAACAGACAAATTAAAACAAAGTCAAGGTAGGAAAAGGGTGGTATACAGGCGAGGATACAGTGAACCACAAAAACAGACAGTAATCTAAAAGATATTTGGGTTTATGTGTGTAATGAACCTGATTGACCGCAAGAGGGAGCTACAACATAGAACATGACAACCTGCTTTCACAAGAGAAGCCCAATACATTTGATCTTATTTCAGTTTTATATTTTCATTTTTTTCATACTAAAATATGATTTTTTTTCACCATAAAATATGACATTTTTATCATACTATACCATGACATATTTATAATACTATACTATGACATTTTTAATATGAAAATCTGAAAATTGTTTTCACACTTAAATATGATTTTTTTTTATCATACTATACTATGACATTTTTTATACGAAAATCTGAAAGTCTTTTTGACACTAAAATATGACATTTCATCATGCTATAGTGTGACATTTTTTGTCATACTATACTATGACATTTTTTTCTCAATCAAAACAGGCATTTTTAATTTTTTTTCTCATACTTTGACAGTTTTATTAATCATTTTTTAAAATCATATTATACCATGACATTTTTATAACATTACACTATGACATTTATTTTCATTTCAAAATGAAATGAAATTCATTTTTGTCAAACTATACTATGACATTTTCATCATTCGATTCTTGAACATGTTTTCACATGTGAAACTGAATTTTTTTCACACTAAAATATGACATTTTTATCATAATAAACAAGGACATTTTAATAACACCATACTTAAATTTATACTAAAATCAGATTTTTTTTCACACTGAAATATGACATTTTTATCATACTATACTATGACATTTTATCATACTATACTATGACATTTTTATCATACTATACTTTTACATTTATTTTCATTCCAAAATAAGAATTTTTAAATCATACTATACTATGACGTTTTTATCATACTATACTATAACATTTATTTTCATTCCAAAATATGAATTTTTGAATCATACTATACTATGACATTTTTATCATACTATACTATGACATTTTTATCATACTATACTATGGCATTTATTTTCATTCCAAAATATGAATTTTTAAATCATACTATACTATGACATTTTTATCATATTATACTATACTATAACATTTATTTTCATTCCAAAATATGAATTTTTGAATCATACTATACTATGACATTTTTATCATACTATACTATAACATTTTTTTCATTCCAAAATATGAATTTTTGAATCATACTATACTATGACATTTTTATCATATTATACTATGACATTTTTATCATACTATACTATCATATTTTTTCATTCCAAAATATGAATTTTTGAATCATACTATACTATGACATTTTTATCATACTATACTATGACATTTTTATCATGCTATACTATGGATATTTTTTCATTCCAAAATATGAATTTTTGAATCATACTATACTGACATTTTTATCATACTATACTATGACATTTTTATCATACTATACTATTACATTTATTTTCATTCCAAAATATGAATTTTTGAATCATACAATACTATGACATTTTTATCATACTACTTAAAAAGGAAATTTTATACTTAAATCTGTTTTTTTTCACACTAAAATATGACATTTTTATCATACTATACTGTGACATTTTTATCATATTATACTATTGCATTTATTTTCATTCAAAAATATGAATTTTTAAATCATACTATACTATGACATTTTTATCACATTATACTATGACTGTTTTATCATACTATACTATTACATTTATTTTCATTCCAATTATGAATTTTTAAATCAGACTGTACTATGACATTTTTATCAAACTATACTATGACATTTATTTTCCCACTATTTTTTTTTCTCATAAAAATATAAAATTTTCATCATACTATACTAGGACATTTTTATCATACTTTAATATGAATTTTTTTTTCACACTAAAATAGGAAATTTTTATCATACTTTACTCTGACATTTTTATCATTCTTTACTATGACTTTTATATCATACTTTACTATGACATTTTTTATACGAAAATCTGAAAGTCTTTTTGACACTAAAATATGACATTTCATCATGCTATACTGTGATATTTTTTGTCATACTATACTATGACATTTTTTTCTCAATCAAAACAGGCATTTTTAATTTTTTTCTCATACTTTTCTTTGACAGTTTTATTAATCATTTTTTAAAATCATATTATACCATGACATTTTTATAACATTACACTATGACATTTATTTTCATTTCAAAATGAAATGAAATTCATTTTTGTCAAACTATACTATGACATTTTCATCATTCGATTCTTGAACATGTTTTCACATGTGAAACTGAATTTTTTCACACTAAAATATGACATTTTTATCATAATAAACAAGGACATTTTAATAACACCATACTTAAATTTATACTAAAATCAGATTTTTTTTCACACTGAAATATGACATTTTTATCATACTATACTATGACATTTTATCATACTATACTATGACATTTTTATCATACTATACTTTTACATTTATTTTCATTCCAAAATAAGAATTTTTAAATCATACTATACTATGACGTTTTTATCATACTATACTATGACATTTTTATCATGCTATACTATGACATTTTTATCATACTATACTATGACATTTTTATCATACTATACTATGACATTTTTATCATGCTATACTATGGCATTTATTTTCATTCCAAAATATGAATTTTTTAATCATACTATACTATGACATTTTTATCATACTATACTATAACATTTATTTTCATTCCAAAATATGAATTTTTGAATCATACTATACTATGACATTTTTATCATACTATACTATGACATTTTTATCATACTATACTATAACATTTATTTTCATTCCAAAATATGAATTTTTGAATCATACTATACTATGACATTTTTATCATATTATACTATGACATTTTTATCATACTATACAATCATATTTTTTTATTCCAAAATATGAATTTTTGAATCATACTATACTATGACATTTTTATCATACTATACTATGACATTTTTATCATGCTATACTATGGATATTTTTTCATTCCAAAATATGAATTTTTGAATCATACTATACTGACATTTTTATCATACTATACTATGACATTTTTATCATACTATACTATTACATTTATTTTCATTCCAAAATATGAATTTTTGAATCATACAATACTATGACATTTTTATCATACTACTTAAAAAGGAAATTTTATACTAAAATCTGTTTTTTTTTCACACTAAAATATGACATTTTTATCATACTATACTGTGACATTTTTATCATATTATACTATTGCATTTATTTTCATTCAAAAATATGAATTTTTAAATCATACTATACTATGACATTTTTATCACATTATACTATGACTGTTTTATCATACTATACTATTACATTTATTTTCATTCCAATTATGAATTTTTAAATCAGACTGTACTATGACATTTTTATCAAACTATACTATGACATTTATTTTCCCACTATTTTTTTTTCTCATAAAAATATAAAATTTTCATCATACTATACTAGGACATTTTTATCATACTTTAATATGAATTTTTTTTTCACACTAAAATAGGAAATTTTTATCATACTTTACTCTGACATTTTTATCATTCTTTACTATGACTTTTATATCATACTTTACTATGACATTTTTTATACGAAAATCTGAAAGTCTTTTTGACACTAAAATATGACATTTCATCATGCTATACTGTGATATTTTTTGTCATACTATACTATGACATTTTTTTCTCAATCAAAACAGGTATTTTTAAATTTTTTTCTCATACTTTTCTTTGACAGTTTTATTAATCATTTTTTAAAATCATATTATACCATGACATTTTTATAACATTACACTATGACATTTATTTTCATTTCAAAATGAAATGAAATTCATTTTTGTCAAACTATACTATGACATTTTCATCATTCGATTCTTGAACATGTTTTCACATGTGAAACTGAATTTTTTTCACACTAAAATATGACATTTTTATCATAATAAACAAGGACATTTTAATAACACCATACTTAAATTTATACTAAAATCAGATTTTTTTTCACACTGAAATATGACATTTTTATCATACTATACTATGACATTTTATCATACTATACTATGACATTTTTATCATACTATACTTTTACATTTATTTTCATTCCAAAATAAGAAT